TCATTCCAAACTCTGTGAGAAATCCAGCTCTTTCAAAGTCCAGTGTAAGCAGGATTAAACTCTCTTGATTGACTTGTTTAGTAAAGATTTATTTGTGTGCAATTGAGTGAGATCAGGCTGGAACATAAACTCCATGGTGGTAGAGTCTTTATCTCTCTTGTTCACAGCTCCACCCCTATCCATCCATCTATCGCAAAGACTAACACATAAAATGCACTTAGTAAATATTTGTTGGCATGATGATTGCATGATATGAGTGAGGGATGATTCAAACTTTGGATCCCACCCTGAAGCCCCTGATATCTCCCTCCTTGCTTAGTGGGTTCTACACACACCCACTGCCCACACTGTCCTTATTTCCAGGCCACTCGCCAAAGGATAGACAAGTCAGGGGTCGGGAGAAAAGGTTGATTTAGAAGGCGCTCTGTAATCACTGCCAGAAAAGTGTCCTTGTTAGGACCAGACCAAGAGTGGTTTGATACAAAAATATCTTAGTGTCCTGTAAGTCTTCTTGCCTGGGGATCAAATGTTGGTGAATGTCAAATGGTTGCTGTCAAGTTGCAATTTCAGATTGAGAGGGTATCTTTATTAGTTTCCTAGGGCTTTCATAACAAGTATCAAAACCTGAGTGGCTTAACATAGCATAACTATATCATCTCACAGTTCTGGAAGCCAGAAGTCCAACATCAAGGTGTCAGCAGGGCCATGGTCTTTCTGATGACTATAGGGGAGAATCCTTCCTTGATTCTTCCAACTTCTGGCCTTTACCACGTTGCTTGATTTGTACATGCAACACTCCAGTGACATGGCTGTCTTCTCCCTGTGTCTTCACGGTATCGTCCATCTGCATGTCTGCCTCCGCATCCAAATTTTCCCTTTTTATAAAGATACTGGTTATATTCGATTAGGACTCACCCCCATGACCTCATTTTAATTTGGTTACCTCTACAGAGGCCCTACTTCCAAATAAGATCATATTGGAGGTACTGAGGGTGAGGACTTAAACAGATCTTCATTGCAGGTGGATTCCTTACCAGCTGAGCCACAAGGGAAGCACTCTAAATAAACAATATAACCCATAACAAAGGGTTGTATGCAATCTGGAAGATTGTAAAGGGTTCTTTTCAGGCTTAGAAACCTCCCTTCTTAAAAACCAGAATAATTTATATGGTCTGGGCATGGAGGTCAATAATAATTTAATTATTCTTATCATTTTTTGGGCCCTGCTATCTTGTAGTTGCCACCTTCATTGACTTCTGTTATATAATATTCTCCAGCTATTTCCCTGATCACTCATTGTGTTTAGTAATTTCTCTTTCTCATCCATCCCTTAAATGTGGCGTTCAGTCTAACTCATCAGTTGGTCCCTAGTCTCTCTGCTCTGCTTGGACAATAAGCAACTGGTTTAAACTGTACTTGCTCTTTGGTCCTACTGCACAAGGATGACTGAGTCTGCTTTATGGAAAATTAGCCTTGTGAGACAGGCCAATTCATTCTGAGAGTTAGTTATTTTATTAGAAACAATGATTTCTAAAGGTCATATTAATTCTTTTATTTTATTTCAAAGTAATCTATTGTTTTGGCATTCATAAAATAAGGAATAAAGGCAACCATAGTTGCTATTTACATAGACATTATCTACTTTGCTTTAAAGCACAAAATGCAGAAAACATTCAGTTCTCTTAGGCTGGGTTTATCTCTAAGTTACCCTGGATGTAGTGAGTTGAGATGAATAAGACATACCTCATTTCTCCTTCTTTGGAAATGACTTAGCGTAATTGTGATAAGCTTGGTAATTTCATTGACTGGCCTAGCACTGATGTCTCATCATAGAAGAATGAAATGTCCCTTGTAATGACATGGAGTGTGTCCTCATAATCTACATTCATCCATCATTCCATTAAAAAAAAAAAGAAATATTCTTGAGACCTATTAATTAACATTTTTAAAAATAAAAAAATCTGGGGCTTCCCTAGTGGTCCAGTGGTTAGGAATATGCCTTACAATGTGGGGACACCAGTTCGGTCCCTGGTCTGGGAGGATCCCATGTATCTGGGAGTGGCTGGGTCTGTGTGCCACAACTTTCAAGCCCACGAGCCCTAGAGCCCACGCTCCGCAACAGAAGAGGCCAGCGTGGTGAGAGGCCAGCACACCACTGCCGGCAGTGGTCCACACTCACCACAGCTAGAGAAGCCCACTCACAGCCAATAAATACACACATAATAAAAGATTTAAAAAAAATACAGTGCCTGGAACAGTAAGCACTGAATAATTTATTCAAGAGAAATGAAAAAATCTTATCATTTCTGTAGCGTTTTCATAGCTCCAGTCCCAGAGAAGAGCTTCACGTCGACATCCTCAGAGAGACAAGAACAGATGAATGGCTTTCTTCACGCTTCTTGTTGGGTGAATCCGTCATGCTCCAGGGTCATGATAAGTTTGCCATTTTTGTACAAAATCACTTAATAAATTGATTGGCACCTTATCTCGGTGTCAGTGTCACTCCACTTTTAGAGATGTCCAAACTGTTTAAATATCAAAAACAAACCATGGAGGACAACTCAGTGAGAAAGGGCTTGTGTTAGCTGAAGATCAAAGGGAGACGGCTGACTGCTGTATACATTTGATGTTACCAGAGGAGAAGCATAGTGATACATGCGGTCAGAGCTTCTTGGCCAGCCTCAGTGAACAGTGAAAGCAGCTGGAGACTAAGCCAGGACAAGCATCTACAGAAAATCAAAGTGACATGTCCAAAGGAAAACAAGATTTTCAGCATTAAGAAGGTGAATATTAGAATGTGACTTCATATAAACTGTTTTTTAGAAAATGAATGATCCTAATTCTGGATATGTGAAAGGGAAAAGAGAGAATCCTTTCAAGTGGAGAAGTGTTATGAAGTATGAAGCAGCATATGATCACGTGAACAATATGATACTTCAAGCTGGCATAGTCAGGAATTTTAAGAGAGCTATCAATAAATTGTCAGTCTTGGAAAAAAAAAACATCTCGTGGCCAAATTTTAATTTATGAGCATTTTATTAACTTGGACTCAGTGTCTGAGTTTTCCACGCATGGTCAGGTAATGAATGTGAAATGTATTTGGTTGTATAATTTATTGCAAATATGTTGGAGAAGATTTAGGTAAAACATGAAAAAGAATCAGTATGAAAGGCACCATTTTAACCTTACAAGGGTGATTCTCTTGAATGGTTTGATCATAGACTATGGCATACATGGAGAAAAACTTCAGGACTTAAGTTCTATTTAGACTGAATAGTGGGATTTAACTATAACTTTAAGTAGTTTCCTAATTTGAAAAAAAAAGTTTATGGTCTGACACTCTTCTTGATAAGTTTGTAGGATGACTTCATGTAATTTTATTCTTTTCTATAAAGCAGTCACTTCAAAAACACAAACCACCCATTGTGAGAAGCCCAGCCATAGAAGCAGTGATTAGGTAGTTCAGACCACACTCCAATCACGCTTGTCTATGCAGGATGCTACGGACTTGAGTTAGGGGAAGTTAAAAGTCATAATGAAAGCAAACTGTGAGCAGCTGTTCCCAAAGTTACTCAGTGTTTGGTTTGGACTTCTACTTCATGAATTCCTAGGATTCATTTGCAAAATGGTAAGTAAGTTTTGCATTTCAAATATGAACAAAGCATCCAAGGAAAAGAATCACCAAAAGTGGTGCGATGTTGTATTCTATGAGATCCCCAGCTACAGAGCCTGCGTGCCTGCACACCATCTGATGTTCTACTTGAATTGAACAACTTTTTAACAAAATAATATTGGTATTCTTTCTCCAGATGGTATGCACTCTAAGAGCAGGGAGTCTTTCTTATTTACTCATCTAATGCAGTGTCAAGCACACAGTAAGTGTTCAAATACATTACCATATGTAAAACAGACAGCTGGTGAGAACCTGAAGCTCCCTGAGCACTTTTGGGTGCTCTTTTTGACCTAGATGGGTAGGATGGGAGGAGGGTGGAGAGGGGTTTGGCAGGGAGGGACTGTATGTACACACATGGCCAATTCACTTTGTTGTACGGCAGAAACTAACAGAACATTGTAAAGCAGCTGTTTTCCAGTTTAAAACATCTGTCAAATATTCATCAGATGAATAATTATCATTTAAGATGGCTTTAAAGTTAGAGCTAATGGATTTCTTTTCCTTCCCACCTATTCTTCTAGTCTTTCTTATGTTAGTAAATGGTGATAGTGATTGCACAAATGCTTAGCCAGAAACCTGAACACCACCCTTGATTCTTTTCCTTCCCTCATTTCCCATATTTAACAAGTCCTGTGGTTACTTTCTTGGGTCTGCCCTCCACTGCATACTGCACACTGCTGTGTAATCCTGCATCCGTCCCCAGCCACTCAGTCATGTCCAGCTCTTCTGTGACTCCACGGACTATAGCCCACCAGGCTCCTCCTTCCATGGGAAGTTTTAGGCAAGAGTGCTGGAGTGGGTTGCCATTTCCTTCTCCAGGGGATCTTCCCCATCCAGGTTTCAAACCTCTGTCTCCTGCATCAACAGGTGGATTCTTTACCACTGAGCCACCCAGGAAACTCACTGCGTAAGCCTAAGCCGTTTCTTGTCTTGCTTGGACCACTACATTGATTCCCCTGCTAGTTTCTCTGCTTTTACTCTTTCTTTCTTTACTCTGTTCTCTTCACCGCAGCCAGAATGATCTAAAATTACAAGAGGGTTATAGTATTCTACTGCTTACACCCTACCTTGGCTTCCCACAGACAATCCTCTTCCTTACTGGAGTCTACAAGATCCATCTGGTCTGGTCCTCACCTCGCTCTCCAAACCAGTCTTGATCAGCCCTTCCGTTTCCTCATTATAAGCTAGCCATGTCAGTCTTCCTCCAGTTCCTAAGAAAACATCATGCTGAGGGCACGCGGCCGGGTCGTCCCGGCCCTCCCAGCCTCTGCCCCCGGACCCAGAAGATCTAGAAGGAGCCGCGGGGCCGCAGCCCTGCGCGCCCGCCATGGGCCCGCGCCGGAGAAAGCCCGAAACACCAAGGAGGCGCCCCGCGAGCCCGGCTCCCGCTGCACGCCGGCCGGCCCCGTCCTTAGGCACGTCCTCCCGTTCACCTGCTCGCCGGCGATATAGAATCCTGAAGGAGATCCGAACTCTTCAGAAGACCACACACCTGCTGTTAAGAAAGACCCCCTTCTGCCGCCTGGCAAGAGAAATATGTGTTCAATTCACTCGTGGTGTGGACTTCAATTGGCAAGCCCAGGCCCTGTTGGCCCTACAAGAGGCAGCAGAAGCGTTTCTAGTTCATCTCTTCGAGGATGCCTATCTCCTCTCCTTACACGCCGGCCGCGTCACACTCTTCCCGAAGGATGTGCAGCTGGCCCGGAGGATCCGAGGCATTCAGGAAGGGCTTGGCTGAGCTCTGGCCACCCGCCCAAGTCTCTGGTTGATACCAGAGCCTCTGCCTGTAGCCAGGACCAGATCCACGGAGTACAAGGTGTTGCCTGGACTTGCTCTCTTGAAGCAGAGCGTGTGAGTTGCTTTCGTAGTTAGTTTTTTTTTAGAAGAAGACTGCATGGCTTTCCTCTGTAACAGAGGTAATATATGAGAGAAGCAACACATTCCAGAAATCCTGAGAATAATTTTCAGATGAAGAGACTCTAAGGTTGACTTCACTTTGCAAATTATTCATGTGACTGATGATTTGGAAGACATCAGATTTTCTAGGTCATGGGCAAAAAGGATATTCACTGATTATTTTAAATCTTCTTGTACCATTTAAATTTTTTACCATATATATATTTACTTTTATTTAAAACATGATGGAAAAAATAAGAGAAGACCAGTCATTTGCATGGAATAGCCTGGCGCATCCAGCATACAAATCTCTTTTTTACAGGTATTTTTATAACTTCCTTGTGGAGAGATAATAGAAATAATTCTTAATAGAAAAAATTTGAAGCAAAGTTACTGTTATACATAGATTATACTATGTTCTTTGTGTGTTAGCCTTAAATCCTTCATTTGGACACTTTGCCAACAGCCACAATTTAAACAAGAGAATTGAGGGGTGTATCCTTGCCTCCAGTGGAGTAGAGTATGAGCCGATAAAATCCTTGCTCTTCTCTTGTAACTGAAAGCAGTTAAGAGACTTCCAGAGAAATAGGAAGTGCCATCCAAAGACATTTAGATATTGTGTGTGATGAAAATGATTAGTGAGGGCAGATACTAATAATGATGCGTCAGCCAGTTGAATTCAAACTAAAGGGAAGGACCAAGTTCTGTTGTTTGATAAATTTTAACCCTTTATAAAAACATTTTCCTGTTCGACATCAACTCATTTTTATGTAAACATTGGAATAAAGCTTATCTTTGAATACAAAAAAAAAAAAAGAAAACATCATGCTGCCCAGCACCTCTTGGCTTTTCTTCCTGCAGGTTTTCCCACCTGGAATGAACTGCCTCCTAGTCTCTGAATGACTGGCTTCTCACCCTTCAAGTCTGATTATTCTTGAGAAACCTCCCATGAGCCCTCACCTGAGTTAATTTTCTCTTACAGCCCCTCCTCAAGCGCTTGACCTGTTTTGCATGTTTTTATAGTCCCATCACTATTTGCAAAAATTAACAATTTGTCTGTTACCTCTCCCCCCTAGTGCTTTGGAACATACCTGTTTTGCGCTTGGGACAATGTTTGATGTATATTACATGGTCAGTAAATATGAAAAATTGAATGATATAACATCCAACTAAATATTTTGTATGCATATATAGTGCATAGGGGAGATAAACAGGAAAGTTTTGTTTTGGCTTAACTTCAACCCTTTCTCCATTGACCCACTTACTTACTAAACACCATATACCTGACAGCTATTCTGAGGCTGCTGTGAATTCAAAGAACTAGACCTGGTCCCAATGTCACGTACTTAGACACTGGGAAAGGAGATTGACAGGCATACCAGTAATTATAATTTAAGAGAAATTGGAAGAAGTACTCTGGAAGTTTGTACATTTATGTACAATTTATACTTTATTTTTTTAAATTGCCTCAGACTGCGGATAGAAGTTTCAAGCAGAAAAATGACTTGTCTGAGGTAAATCTGGGAAGGCTTCATGAAGGACCCAGTGTTTAACTTAGATTCTGATAAATGTAGAATTTGGAGGCACAAGAATAGTGTGAGAATGGGCCATCATTATAGGTGAGCAAATGCTGCAAAAATTGCACAGCTTAAGAGGGGGTGGGGCAAAGCTTGCAAGAATAGAAGGGCTGTGTTGGGAAAGTGAGGTGTATTGTTTTTAATGCCCGGAGAAAGAGTTTGTGTTTTGTCTAAAGAAGAACAGGGGAGCCCCTGAAATTTTTCAAGCTTGGCAGTGATTTAGTTCGAGTGTGGTTTGGGATAGTTTCAAAGTTCCACATAGGTGGATTAAAACAGGGGAGGAATGGAAGTAATGGTAGTGTTTGGAAACTTCCAGTTCTAGGAAAGAGACAAATCAAATCTATGGTAATCATGGGGGGGGCAAATAGGAGGGGGTGATTGAGGAGGTACTGCAGTGGGCTTTTTTGACGGCTCAGTGGGTAAAGGATCCGCCTGCAATGCAGGAGAGAGAGGAAACGTGGGTCTGATCCCTGGGTCAGGAAGATCCTGTGGAACAGGAAATAGCAACCCATTCTAATATTCTAGCCTGGAGAATTCCATGGAAAGAGGAGACCGGCAGGCTATAGTTCATGGGGTCGAAAAGAGTCAGACATGGCTGAGCACGTGGCACAGAGGAGGAAGCCTCCTGTTTTGAAAACTCATTGACAGGTTCAAGGTGTAGGCAGGAGGCAGGATAACTGTGGGGGTGATGATAACAGGTGAGAGCAGAGTCTAGGTTCATACAAAAGCCGGGAGGAAAACTGAGAAGGGGAGTCCTCTTGAGTGTGAGACGGGTGAATATGCTTCAGGTGAGGATTATGATGATGAGGTTTCAACTTTATGGTCTGTTTCCTATTGTTGCTGTCGTTCCATCACTCAATTGTGTCCAACTGCTTGTGACCCTATGGACCTCAGCATGCCAGGACTCCCCTGTCCCTCACCATCTCCTGGAGTTTGCCTAAATTCATATCCATAGAGTCGGTGATGCTATTCAACCATCTCATCCTCTGGCGTTCTCTTCTCCTTTTGCCTTCAAAAGGAATGCCTCCTTTCCCAGCATCAGGGTCTTTTCCAGTGACTCGGCTGTTGGCATCAGGTGCCCAAAGATTGGGGCTTCAGCATCAGTCCTTCCAATGAGTATCCAGGATTGATTTCCCTTAGGATGGACTGGTTGGATCTCCTTGCAGTCCAAGGGACTCTCAAGAGTCTTCTCCAACACCACAGTTCAAAAGCATCAATTCTTTGGCGCTCAGCCTTCTTTACAGTTCTAGTTCCTACATTGGACATAAGCAAGAGAACGCCTCCTAGTTTCCTCTCCTTTAAGGGTTTTATGAGAAGTAGCCCAGGAGATCACTGATTTCTGTGTGTCTCCTGCCACGTTAGATGGCAGAGGTTGAAATCCTGATTTACTGCTCAACAGCCTACTGCTTACTGGCCACCATGTGACCTTCTTAAACTCTCTACCCTCAATTTCCTTCCCCCATGAAATAGAAATGAGACCATGATGATTGCAATCTCAAGGACTCGAGGAAGAATTCAGTGAGATTATGTATTTTAAGGTGCTTTGTAAACCTTCTTTGGAAGGCAGGATATGCAAGGAAACTCTAGGCATGTGACTCATGTGCATTGGACATTGGCTCTACTATGGTATTGAAGAAGACTCTTGAGAGTCCCTATTACTGTGGAATTGGAGAAGACTCTTGAGAGTCCCTTGGACAGCAAGGAGATCAAACCAGTCCATCCTAAAGGAAATCAGTCCTTAAAATTCATTGGAAGACCTGATACTGAAGCTGAAACTCCAATACTTTGGCCACCTGATCAAAGAACTGACTCATTTGAAAAGACCCTGATGCTGGGAAAGGTTGAAGGCGGCAGGAGAAGGGGACAACAGAGGATGAGATGGTTGGATGGCATCACCAACTCAATGGACATGAGTTTGAGTAAACTCCAGGAGTTGGTGATGGACAGGGAGGCCTGGAGAGCTGCAGTCCACAGGGTCGCAGAGGGTCGGACACGAATGAGCGACTGAACTGAACTGAACTGATGGATTCTAAAACTGCTTGAAACATCAGTCCTTTTTTAAAGCTTTTATTGTGTCATTGTCCATGAACACACAGTCATCAAAAAGAATTTTTGTTTCATTGGTCAGGTAACCTGACCTTTTTCTTTGAAAATTCCCCGTCACATAAAACGTAAGCCACGGAGGAGGCTTTAGGACTTGAACAACGGAGAAGGAGGGCAAGCTGGCAGCAGCCTCCGCTCCCTCAGGCGGGCGAAGCCACGCTTTCCCGCACTGCCTCCCTGTGTCCGCAGAGAGAAGCACGGCTGCCGGTTCCCTTGGTTAAAGCGCTCTCTGTCTGATTCAAGTCTGTGGACCTCTGGGGCTGCAGACAACTGATGCATTTGCAATGCCAGCAACAGAGCCCTGTGCCAGGCTCAAACAGTCCACAATCCTCTGTAGAGAAGAATGAAATCCTGCTGGCAAAACTTCCCTAAAACTTAGGCAGAACGTGGCAGGAGTAAGGGTGTGTGTGTATTTACTTAAAAATGAAACAAAACAACACATTTAGGGAAGAGCCTGTTTCTAAACACCCTTACCATTGCAAGGAATTGTATTTCTTTTGAAGTGCCAGCATTCCAAAAAGAGGGACGTGAAGAGGTATTGCAACCACTGAATATGGGGCAGACCCCTTAAAGTAAATAAGCACCATGTCCACTCCCAAATTAAATGGCTTTTGTTTGAGTTTGGGGTGAGTTTGATAAGGATGGTGTTACAACGTTTAATGAGGTGCAAGGGAAAAATGACTTTTGAAAGTTCACATGGCTGTCATCTTATTCTCTCCGATGTTCCCTTTCTTCTTAACCTCACCCTCACTGATCTGCTTCTGGATCTTTTTGCATCTGCTTGGTGGAAGTCAGGGGATATGCTGATAACAGTCCAGCTTTGCTGTGGGTTTATATGCATCTATTTTATGTACCAAGAAAAGTTATCAATGAGGAGGATGAACAAAAAAATTGTGTATGGGCTGCAAGTAGCCTTTTCACCGGCATGTAGTAGCCTGCTGCATCCACACAGAGTCTTTTGAATGAAAGGAGCATAAAACACACACATACATACACATATACACATCCAGATTTCCTAGAGCCATAATCTTTCTTTCTCGCTTTGATTCTTACCTCATGTGGATTTTATGTCATGCTCATTTTTAAAAAAATCAACTGTCAGCCTGTGGATTTTTTTTCTCCTTTTTAAGTCACCGGTTTTGGTGGCAACATAGCTAAGCACATTCCCAGTTCCGTTCCTCTCATTAGTATTAATAGAGTAATCATCATTCCCTTCTTTGGCTCCTTAGGCTTGCTGCAATATTTACACATTGGCTGAAGCCGGCTGAGCTGAAATAATGAGTCTTGGACATCCTCACAGCACCAGGTGGGTGAAAACTTGTTGCCACTGGGTGGGATTTATGGCGGAATAAATGATATGTCTCATAATTATCCATGAAAATGACAGCAGCGTCCCTGGTACTTGTCACACCAGCCAGCCCTGTGGTGGTGGCTGTGGCATCAGCCTAGAAGGACAGCTCTGCCTCTCGAGTGACCAGGGGAAATGGAATTGCCCTTCAGCCTGCTTTAGCCACTTCTCAAATTATCATCTCATTCTTCTTAAGGGAAAGGTCCCTTTTTAGCCAGAGGACTTTTTCTACCGACTTGTTAGGTTTTCTTCCCATTTGGGGCTTCCTGAAAGAAG